TAAAGCCTTTCCTTCACAAATTCTACATGTGATTTTGAGAAATTGCTGTCAAAAATTAACATCACTATAATACACCCCCTTGATTCCTCACTACAATTTCTTTTGGCTTCTACTTATGGTTCCTTTACTTAGAATATGTTTTACATTCAGGATTCAGGAGAGTTTTCATGCAACTAATATGCAAATATTATGGAAATATCAATATTGGGAAGAATGAGTCACTTCATTATTATACTGTATGGAAGGGGTTAGACGAATTGTGATTGCCATTAAGGTATAATATTTTATATATTGATGTAAGAAAACAAGTGTGTTAGATAAAAAAAATATACATTAATATATTCCTAGTTAGAATGGATATTATGATCACAGTGTCTAATACACTGTTCCAATTCAAAAGGTTTGTTGAAGTGGTTGCAATCACTGATGCAATGGAAATGTGTCTGTCAACATTTGTTTAATCCTTAGCATCTGGCAGTCAGTGATATCCAATATCCAAGATTTAATTCAAATATCATGGAGCATAGCCACTAAGAGCCTACAGCCCATGAATTTGTATAATACGGCTTTTCCTGATCTTGAGGCTCCTGTCAGCCTTGGACAAAATTTCCAAATGTGTCATACCACAACTTTCTAATTCCAAGGAAGGTAGACTAAGATTTATATTTATTGTAGCTCTATACATTTGGAGAATAATGAATCTGTATAATATATAGAAGTGTGTGTATACATAATATACAAATACATATACATATACACAAAACCACTCCAATATAGTTAGTACATAGCATTATGAAGCCAGTTTCATATTTTAAAAGGGTAACATTTATTCTCACCTCACCATCATTAATAAACTGAAGATCTCCAACCATATTGATTATGTAAACTAGAGTATTTCAGAATAGAGTGTTTGGAAACTGGAAAAACTTCTGTAAGTTGTTCTCAAATATCCTTGACAGGACATTTCATTCAATTTAGCATTTAAAAAACAGTCTTTGTAACTTATAAGCTCTTAAGCAAATGTAAGTGAGAGGCAAAGCTAACATGTCTGATAATTCACTCTATCTGACTGACAACTGTGCTGAATTTCCCCTGTGGTGCTAGCAAAACATTGTTACAAAAGTAATAACATACCTAGGAAAAAAAGGATCATAAGGATCATGCTGTCAGCTTTAATTCTGGAGAACAAAAACCAGTGAGATGATTTCTGATAAGATCAGTCCCATACAACCCAGGAACAGGGGTGCCAAATGCTGCATGGAGTAATGTGATCTGAGCTTAAAATAGCTGCCAAGTATACCATGGAGGAATAGTTCCATGAAATATATTGCAGCATGAATGAGCTGTTCAGAAGTAAAGTCACTGAACTGCAAGAGGTGATGAATGGAAAAAATTTTCCCTACCCTCATCCCTACCTGATGTCTTCTCATGTTAATCTCCCATGCCTTTTCAATGTTCAAAAATACTGAAATTTCAATTAATACATGGATTTCGTATGTCATGGTTATGGCACGATCCTCCTCAGCTCAGAAAGTTCCAGGTTTGGCATTTTCAATTCAAAGGATTAAGTGATATGACTGTTTGCACGAGGCTCTGGGAACATGTTGTCAATTAGAATAAATAATACAGAACTAGATAGACAAATATATTACAAGAATGGAAGGAAAAAATAATAGTTTAAGAAAATATATGTTGAGAGTGGGGGGATGGGGGTGGGGGTATCTACAAATCAGTAATTAACTGCCTAAGTAGGTGTCCTTAGTATCAATATGTGTATTGTACCGGTATGTCCAAATAATTCTTTTTATTATACTCTGTGATGATCTGCCTTGTCAAAAAATCAGCATCCAAAAAGCATGTCATTTCTCCTGAAAATGAACAATAGGTGAACATTAATAGTAGTGATGATGCCTTGAGCAAAAGGGAAAAACAGTTGGGAATTTCTCCATTGCAATGTAACTTATCTTGCTCACATTCATTCTGCTAATTAACTGTCATGTATTATTATTATTATTATTATTATTATTATTATTATTATTATTATTATTATTGCTTACTCTTAATGAAAAACTACAATTATAACACCACTTCATAGCTTCACTGTGAGGCGCTACACAGCTTCTTTTTACTGTTATTGTGCAATAAAATTTCAATCCACTTTACATTTAAAGCTTCACAAAGACATGTTTTGATTAGAAAATGAATGTGGACTGTCTTATTATATTATAAGCTTTTAATTATGTATTAGAATATATTTGATATTTCAGATTTCTTGGCTATCCACTCATATAGTATGGTTTATATTTGCTTTTCTAATTTTATTGCCCATAATCTTTTAAGTTCGTAAGTATATTATCTATTTCTTGTATACTTTTAAAAATATATATTTAAAAGAAAATTATTTTTTTTAAAAAATAAAGCTTTATTATTTATTTTTTCCATTACCACAATCTCAACCTGCAAAATTATTATACACTTCTGGAATTACCATTCAGATGGCTCAATGCAACTATGTTACAGGTAATTACCACTTTTTTATTGGGTCTTTCAATTCAGTCCATGGACCTCAGTAGTTAAGCTCATTGTATTCAATTGTCAACCAGCCAGATGGGGAAGTGTTCCCATAGACCACAGGTAGGGAATGGCTGGCTCAGGAATTCTGGGAGTTGAAGTCCACAAGTCATAAAAGTCATTCCCCATCCCTGCCATAGACATTTTCTTAAGCATTGCTCATATATAGCGCCACAAAACCCATTATTATTATTTTTAAAAACTGCTCATATATAAAACATTACATGAAAATGGTCATGTGTTTTAAAATAACTCTATAAAATATTACTGAAAAAGCAGCCAGACAATATTAATATTAATGAAAAATCCTAAAGAGAGCAAACAAATTAGAAGGCTGAAGAAATGGTAGGTAGATGTCTAGATAAGGCCATTTCCATCAAATTTATTGGATGAGTCAGAATAGTTTCCTAGTAAAAGTGCATGATCCAAAGGCAACTGGATCTGAAAGCAATTGGAGATAAGGAAGCTTGGCTTTTTCATAGAATGGGAAATAGTATGGAACATTAAACCAGCTTTGAGATCTATACGTAGAATAAATGCATAACAACCAGATTAGTAAAATGCATATCCAGGCAAACAGCAAGTTTTATGTTTTGCTAATATAATGAAATTTAGCACCATCATTTGGAGAGAAACCGAGAGCAAGAAGAAAAGAAAAACCTTCCTTTATACAAATATTTTCCTCATTAAGTTTATTTTTTTTAAAAAAAGGGAACATATACACTAATTTTTTTCATAGAAAACATATGTCAAATACATATATATGTATTTTTCTAAAGAAATCCAATTATCATATGTTGCCGCAAATGATGAGATAAGAATTTTATCTTTGAAATCTGCTCTTATTTGCAAGAAGCAGATTTGGCATACTTTCAATTGTTAATCACTTTCGCCTGGTGAATAGATGATGCCATGACTAGCCAGCTTCTATGTAATCATATTCTGAGGCATACAGGTATACCTCCTATACAGACAACAGAGAAGGCTTTGGAAAGATGAAGACAGAAGTTCCATAAAAATGGTCACTTTAAATATTTATCGGAACATAATCGTGCTGGCTCTAATTCTACCCTGAACCACTGTGGTAAGAGGAGAAGAAAGAAAATCAAAAGAGGGGATTATATTATAGCGAAAGAGATGTAAACAGACTGTTAAGAGACATACTTTCTTGCTATTACCAAAAATAGAGGATGGAACAAGTTTTCCAATGAAAACATGGTTTTAATTTTAAAAAGTGAATGATTGCAAAATGATAAGAAATAGAAGGAGCAATAGTAGACTTGATATATGTAGACCTGGCTCCAGGCTTGAAAGATATAAGTAATATTTCTAATACCTCCTCCCTGCCCTTCCTCATCTACCCTAACTGAATATTGACATGCATTGTCTGGCAATGGTAGCAATACATGAAGCAGCCTTCAATGCCCCCTTTACATTACCCATAATACTTCAGTCTTACAGTAGATTAAGGTATTAAGGGGAAAGCCTATCATCCTGAGCCAAAACAAAAAGGACACCATATGTAAGGCAGGGGCCTTCTGCTGAAGTTGCAAGTAGTGAATAGCTTTTATCAATCTGGGAGAGAAACCAAGTGGGTCGAATCAACTGTAGTCTAGATAAGAATGAAACTCAATATAGTTTTGCTTCTTCAACATGGGAAGTGTGCTGTGGTAATATATGAGTTTTTTAAAAAATCATTATTCTCCATTCCATATGATCACTCTTTCTACATATCCATCATAGGTCTTCCTTCCTTCCTTCCTTCCTTCCTTCCTTCCTTCCTTCCTTCCTTCCTTCCTTACTATATATGTAAGACAACAAGTGGACTATGAAAAGGTGATTGACGGACAACAGCTTAAACAATGTGATCAAACGGATCAAATTATAAACTTCACTAGACACCAAAACATGATGTAAAAATGAAATAATAATAATTATCATTATATCATGCATTGTTTTGATGCCCCAGTAAGCAACAACAGCTGCTGTTTGCAATGGGCTGAGCTAGATAACTTTTACCCATCATCTTTTGTAGTTCCTTTGGATGAGCTGTTTATTATTTGGACCACATGGATTTGTTGTATTTACACTGAACAGTATCATTGGCTAAAGCATTAAATGGATAATTATTTTTAAGAACAGAACTGCTTGCTCATAGTAAAACTAATACTGAGAATTGAAACAAAAACAAATAGAGTAAGCATTGCACGGGACACTTGTTTGTTCAATAAGGTTGCAGGACCAATTCAAACAATAATTCTAATGAAGGACTACACACAGTCCAAACTGCTTCTCAGATGACTCTTAAGGAGACCAAAGTTGGCCCTTCTTTCATGAGCAATGTAGGTGTTTGCATCTGGACTTCCCCATAAAATTTTGCATTCTTTGTGCCTAAGAAAAGTATACAATTTGACTACAAGCCTAATTAATGATCAGACCTTATTTATTAGCTGTCGTAAGTACACAGATCCTTACACTGGAAAAAGATATTGATGATAGAGAAAATTCAGATCTATATTGAATTTAAAAATGTGCCTGTTTCTGGAAATTAATATTATTATATTATTATATAATATTAAAATGTTATTGCTAAAGACATGAAATTTGGGATCTTTCTGGAAACAGAATACAAAATTCATTGTAGATGAATTGAGAAGGTTGACCTAAAAGGCCTCTCCTGTAATCTTTTCCTTACTTCCAGCCGCAGGAGAGAAGACCTAGTTTCATTGTGAATGTTCCTTCATTAAGTTGCTAATGTCAATAATGAATTGTTGAATTGGCCTGCAGCCAGCACCTACTTCTTTTACATATTTTTTGTGTTAATACATATAGGAGTATTTGAAGAAATATGAAAGGATTAAATTTTTGAAACAATTTTTATGTCCTTCATGAGAAGAACATCTAAACATTGGCTACAATATTGTGCATATTTCTGTGAAGCAATCTTCACTGAACCTAAGCATCACACTTCCAGTATTACTGAGTAGACAATATGAAAATACATTAGTCATTTAAGTCAATCTTCAATGGTACCATGAGCATTCTATGGTAGTAGGGATAACAATGTATAAAAAACATTTTTAGCACAACTTCACTACACACTAATACTTCAAGCACCAGTTACCCAGCTAATCAGAATGCAGATAAATCGTACGTCCTACCAGGAGGAACAACATGCCAGAAAACATAGCAAAAAATATTCCAACTGGAGCCAGTATAAAAGACCAGCCGTAACGAACATACATAGAATAACTTGAACAGTCAATTTTCTTCTGAGCTTCATAGTTTTTGAGATCAGCCACTGCTTGGACCCAGATAACATATAGTACAACCACCAGGGAGAATAGGATGCCTAACAGATGGAGAAGAAAGAATGTTTTACTAAATATTTATGGCAAAATTATCATACAAGAACTCAGAAATGTCTACAAAATTTAGAAAAACATTAAAACAGATTCTCCAGTCCTATAAATCACAATTTCACAGAATGGATTGTTAGATTTATATCCTCCATTTTGTACAGAATCTCAAGGCAGCATTCATGACACTCTCTCCCTACATTCATGATACTCCCTCCTCCCATTTTTTCCTATAACTATTTTGCAAGGAAGGATGGGCTGAAAGAAAGTAACTGGCTCGAAGTCACGCAACAAGCTTATTTGGCTAAAAATGAACTGGAATCCAAGTCTGCTTCTACTCTTGTCTTCTTCTCTAGTGGGAATCTTTTATGAATGGATATAATAACAACTAAAAAAATATTTATTGGCAAACTTATTTACTAGTTACATAGGGAGCAATGTTCTACGTTTTTTTATACTATATATTAGTCAGCATCATTTTAGAAGGTCAGCATATAGATTTGTGATATCTATCTATTCATCCAATAGAGAAAATATTTGGCCCATCAATTTTTGGGCTTTGGTTGAGATTGAGGAGAGCAGATTACCAAAAACCAGTGGAAGACCAGATGCTCCAATCCTTGGCTTAAACATTCATTATTTACATGACTTCTTTCAAAACAGATTGAATGCTTAATTGTATCATTGGTTTATTACCAAGATGAATGCACCAAATGACACTCATTGTTCTGGGAGAAAAATGTTCCGTTATTATGATCATTATCACAAATGGCCATTGCCATTCAAGCCCAGTGATTATAATTACATTCAAAAAAAAGTATGGATTTTTAGAAACTTTTGAGATTGCTACATAGTTCCTTTGTTCCAACTTGTTAAGATCTTTTGCTTGGACAGTTCATTAATAAAAGTAAGTGTATTAAAGCTGTAATGAATCACAAAGGGATGGAACACATTACTTCAAAAACATAAACAATGAATTCAGGAGAGATTTGGATAAATAAGGATTCGTCTTTCTGTTTCTCTCCATCCCGCACCATTACTCATTTTGCTATTTTATTTTTCAGGGGCACCCATATTTTATCTACAAGGTATAAAGTAACATAGGGATGAGAAGCAGGGATTAGCAGAAGTCTTCATTCCTATATACTTCTGCTTCTTTCAAAAGTAAATAAATGAGTAAAGAGAAGTATCTGTATGCTCGAACAAATTCTTGATCTTCCCACATATCAATGCTTTTTCCATACCAACAATGATGGGTTGTTTTTGGTACAAAGTTTCCATAAGGGAAGGAAGAAGGGAGAGACAGAGATGTGATCAACAGGTGCTGTTTAAAGTGACAGGCTCCTCTACAGTTCCACTAGTACTACAAAGATCTGAAAATCCTTAATTTTTTAAAATCAATCCAGACTTTGTTCTTTCTGTTGGCTTTGTCAGCAGGATGTATATGGACATCTTCTGATCTCATAAGAACAGACTGTTCTGCTGTCAAGGCACTTCATGCAATTCACACAGCTTCAATCAAATCCTACAAAGATCTAAGGACATAAGTCAGCCTGAAGAGCAGAAGACAAAGTCATACAGTGGCTCTGAAATAGTAGCTGATCTGCATGTTTTGCTAGTAGACAACATGCAAATCAGCCTTTCTTGTACTTGCGTTAGAGAAAATATATGAAGGGACAGCAATTTAAAACAGGATAAATTATTGTGGGTTGAGAAAATTAAACATACATCCGTCCTCCCATTATTTCCTTGCATGTTTGATTGTTGGTTTAAAATAATCAAATAAAGACCTCTGGTAAAAGAGCTTCTTTTTCCTTCTTGTTTAACCTCTGAACCAATGTAAAAAAGAACAGAATTTAGGAAGGATCGAGCTAGAAGAGAGTCTTCTAAATCGCACATTCCATGATCTGTACTTTCATGTTTTAGCTGAGGTAAATAAAATGATATGTTTCAACTCCAGTATTTTAAATAAGGTCATAGGACTTTGATCCTCAGAACAGCCATGAAGTGATATGGAGGGACATAAATAAGGAGCAGAAAGCTAAGAAAAAAGATAGGATTATTCTGTTGAAGAGTTGAAGAATCGGATGATTAGAAGTAAAACTCCATCGTTGTAGTTAGCAGGATTTATGTTTGAGCAGACACACATAGGATTGCTCTAAATACAGCTATTGTCAGTACATCAGCAACATCTCTTTTGAGTCAGATTTCTCCTGTTCTGTGCATAGTTTAATCTCTTGGTTAGGCCATTAAATGCTTACAGAGACTCAGGTACTTTGAATAGCTTGCTCTGAATTTAGATAATTTCAAATCTATAGAATACTTTACTATATTTTGAAATTAATAAGTGAGAAGAAAACCAGGAGTATTTCAAAGCCTCCAGCCACTAGCATATTACTTCCATATAATTTCTGGGAAAGGAAAATGGTAAGAAGATAAATGAAACTTGTGTTAAGGCTACCTTGACTATTCCTTCAAGGAGACAGATGGAATATAAATCCAACAAAGTGTCTGTGTTCTGAAACAGGATGGTATAGAATTTACCAGAATGTTGTAAGAACCAAAGTTTGGAATGGAAATGGAGCAACTGAGGAAGAATTAAAAATCACCTAAGGATAATGTAATTTGATTATTGAATCAGACATGGTTTAACAAGGCTAAAATTAATTGTTCAAGACGCTGAATTTGTGGCAGAAGTGGGGACTGAGTAGGAGGAGTAAGAAGAGTGTCTATAATAAAATAAAAAGGACTGTATGTTGTAACAGAAATATTTACACAGAACTATAGATCAATCCAACAGAATGGAGCAAGGGAAAGAAAAGATATGTATTTGGTCCTGGATGTCAGATCTGGGTTCTAAACAAATATGCATGTATTCTGCAGAAACACCTGATGAGTTGTTTCTGAAAGAGATAGAAATGACTGGAAGTAAGGCTCTTATTTTCTTGGTCTGTCAAGAGAGGGAGACAAATTTTGAGGGTTGATCTTGAAGGAGAGAATTAGGTTTAAACTAAGTTTTCTATTGTCTTTCCAAAGGCTTCAAAATAAATTTTGATATCTTTTCTTGAAGGAACTACTACAATTCCAAGAGTACTTTCCTAAATGGATTACTTCCTTACTACATAAACAAGAAGGCATTCTTAGATGCTGTCCCACAAAATATGTGGAGTTTAGATTATCTTCTGGAGATATTTTGAAAATGGCATGTTAGAAAAAGCCAGAGGGACTTTACTGGTATTACATTGTGAAGAATAAGGATTTTATGATAGATAAATACATGGACATAGAATGATTGGGATATATACATATACACATAATTTTTTTAAAAAATGTTAACCCTTCCTTCAATGAGGCTTTTTCAAGAAACGTTCCCATAGAAACCCAAGGTATTTTATATTTAGACACAAAACTCTCCCCGGATTCTTGCATTGCATCTATGGCCTGAACCACACAGCCTACAATTTTAGGATAAGGAATGTTGCTTTGAGACAACTAACATGTGAAACTTACCAGCCGCAATGAAAAAACTTCCTCCTATTTTGTAGAGGATGTGACTACCAAAAGGTGCAGCACAGATGATGAAGAAACTAGCAACAACCACAGTGACCACTCCAAGGAGCATGAAAATTGACCAGAAACCGCGATAAACTGGAAATGGGGACAGAAGAATATTGAAAAGAGATTTTAGAGAATAAAAGACAATTTTTACAAAATCTGTTCAGCCTTCCCTGACATTTTTTTTTATTAGCAAGCTGAACATTTATTCCAACACAGCCTCCTGGTAATCAGTAATCTAAAGCACCATATGTCCTGCATTAGACAGGAATGCCAAATGCTATCAGATCATCTTGGAATATAATGATGCATGTGAAGAGTGTTATGAATCCCTGTTGCTTGGTATCTGCTGGAGAGACATGCGGTTAATCAGTTCACTTTTTTCTTGGCCAATGGAAATTGTTTATAAAATAATGTGCTGAACTATAGCCAAGATTCTTTAAGATATTTGCAGGGTTTTACCAGATACAATTGATCTTACTAAAGTAGAAACAGAGGCTAGAGACAATGCAAAGAAAAGTTTAAAACATACCCAAGATAAGTCACAAAAATGTTGAAAAACCAGAATTGAGTGCTTTTAAGAAATGTATACTGTATATTTACCAAAATGTATTTACACATGGTTTTAAAATCCAAACTGAAAGTATCAATGGAAAGACAAGCCAAAATATGAATTCTAAAAAAAGTCAGAATTGCTAATAACTAGAGCTGTTCAGATAGTACATTGCTTTGTGTATTTTTCAAAGCAAATATCAAAAATCATTGTGTTAAGGATAAGCAATATTAAATGTTCTGGATAATGATCAATGCATTAAGAGTCTGGTAACATATGCTGTTCTTCCCCTCAAATATTCATAATAATAAACTAATTGACTAATTAAGCATCTATTTTTAAGAAACTCTTTATAAAAACTAGAATCATGGAAATCCATTTATTTTATTCATTATGAATATAAATATAAAAATAGGAAAATGTTAAATTATTGTGAAAAGGCCTAAGTATGAAACCATTTGTATAAAAATAAAATGTACATCCCACTACAATAAAAACAGTTTAGAATTATTCATAATATTGATATTTAGACTATATTTTCAACTACTGTTTTATGAATGGAGTTGCACAAAACTGTATGAGCATTCTATAAATTAATTTTCCACATACTTTATTAATAAAGTAGGTACTGCTATTTCAATAATTTGTAAGATTTTAAATGAAACTTTATTTACACTGTAATACAAATAATTTTAATTCTAAAAAAGACTGTAAATGTATTAGGGTTGCTGTTTCCTAATGTATAAATGACAGTCCTTTTAAAAAAGGGTTGTTAGAATCTAATCTTGGTCACAGCACTTGCTATTATACTCTGTTTATATGGTACAACCTAAACAAGTCGCCCAGAGTCATTTTGCAGAGTGAGATGGGTGGCATATAAATTAAATACAAAATCAAGAAAAATAATTTTTTAATTTACATCATTATGTACACAATTGCAATTGCAAATATTACATAAAACCATGTCTTATTTTCCAACTGCCTTGGTGCAGTATCCTCTCAATAATTAATTATACTTTACTATAAAATAGATTATGTATGCTTTGATTATGAATCTATACATTAATTTATTTATTTTAAATATATACTTCTAGCTATGTTATGATGGCAAATCAAAAGTTTATACCAAAAATATAAAAACTTAAGTGAATGGTTGGAACCCTTGTCTAACCACAATTTAATATGAATATAAGGAAGAAACTTATCTTGTGTTTTATTATATA